ATAAGAAGGTACTTGGACTTCATAAGGGTTAGTAGAGTCTTCGGGCCTTCGCGGACGACTGCGGGGTCTTATGGGGTTTGGGTTCAGGGGCTTTGGGTTTAGGGTTTCGGGTTTAGGGGTTTAGGGGTTTAGGGTTTAGGGGTTTAGGGTTTAGGGTTTAGGGGTTGAGGGTTTAGGGGTTGAGGGTTTAGGGTTTTATGCCGCGCGAGCTTTTGTGGTTGAAGGCTTCGGGCTTGCAGGCTCCAGCAATTTGGGGCTGGAGGATTGTGCATTTTGTTGGGGAAGGGGTCGAGGCCCAGAAAACCCAAACGAAACCCGATTCAGGCCTAAACTCTACCTAACCCTACCAAAACCTGCTTTTTTTAGGGTCCCTACAAATACCATATTAGCGTTCATAATACGAACCTACAACCCCCCAAGGCAGAACGGAAACAACACGAGAGCGGAAATGGAAGATCAACTATGCCTTGCTGCCCACATGAGCATTATAACCCTATAAGCCCTAAACCCCTAGACCCTAAACCCTAAACCCTAAACCTAAGCCCCAAACCCCTAAACCCCAAACCCTTAATAAACCCTTGCACCTTGAGGGTTCCGGGGTTTAGCGCTTAGGGCTCTGGGTTCTGGAGGGTTTCGAGGCGAGGGTTCACCTACAGACCCAACAAAAAAGTAGGTTAGGGTTTATAAACCCTAACCTACTTTTTGTTGGGTCTGTAGGTGGGTTTACGGCACCCCTTCTTTAGGGTATCGATCCTAACGCTGCGCTTCCGAAGATCACCGGAAAAAAGAGCAATCACGCGGAGAGAGGAGTGAGAGAGGGTTTAGGGTTGGGTTTATGGCTTAGGCGGGAGAGACGGAGAGAGAGCGAGAGAGAGAGAGATAGAGAGAGAGAGAGAGAGCTGCAGTGTCACCCCATTGCACCTGGAAGACAACGGATGAGAAAGCAGAACTACTTAGAGCATAAACTCAGAAGGACCAGCCGGCAGCCCTAGCCCTATCATACACGGTAAGATTCGTAATTAGGGTTTAGGGTTTAGGGTTTAGGGCTTGAGAAGAACCTCCAGAAGAGACAGATCTAAATCAATAAATATCCCAACGCCCTTATACTAACCTCAATCACGAGACATTCGAGGCTGGTGGGTCAGAAACCATCAGCATCTTAGCACTGCGACCCGGGCAGCGAGAACCTGGAACTGCGACAAAGACTCGAAACCCGAAGCCCTAAACCCGAAACCCGAAACCCGAAACCCTAAACCCTAAACCCTAAACCCTAAACCCTAAACCCTAAACCCTAAACCCTAAACACGAAACCGTGAAACTCCAGAACCCCCAAGAGCAAAAGCCAGGATCCCCACTCCTTGCAGCCTCAAACCCTGAAGCCCTTCAAGAATCAGAAGAGGGTTTCGGGGTATGTTATTTTAAACCTGTAATGATAAGGAAGCCCAGAATAGTATTGGTAACTATTTAGGCCCCTAACCTAGCTCCACTCCAGGAAGACCGATTTTCCCAAACTCTCTAAACCCTGCACCCTCACACTGTCTAAACCCTGAAACCGAAAGCCCAACCTGTAACCGAAAAGACCTACCAGTTGAGGGTTACTTCTTATGGTTTCTATATATGGTGCCTCAAAAAAGCAAGTCTCTTCGGTTACAAGGAAGCCCTAAAACCTAAAACCTAAACCCTAAACCCTAAAACCCAAACCCAAAACCCTAAACCCTAAACCCTAAAACTCCCTAAACCCTGAACTCAAACCTAAACCTTAAACCCTAAAAACTCCATAAGCCCTGAACTCCAAGAGTCCCAAGGATCCACTAACAGGGTAGCCGGGTTTAGGAGAGCAGTAATCTTCGGGTTTAGGGCTTAGGGCTATCTTAGGGCTCTAGGGTTCTAGGGGTTTTAGGGGTTTGTAGGGTCCAGGGTTTAGGAGGGCAGTAATCTTCGGGTTAAGGGTTTAGGGCTCTAGGGTTCTAGGGGTTTTAGGGGTTTTTAGGGTTTAGGGTTTAGGAGGGCAGTAATCTTAGGGTTTAGGGTTTAGGCATCTTGGGGTGGGACCTTCGAAGACGGACCCTTCAGAGAAAACCGTCAAGGAACCCTTCACCCTCAACCCTAAACCCCTAAACCCCTAAACTCCCTAAACCCTAAACCCTAAACCCTAAACCCTAAACCCCTAAACCCCTAAACTCTCAACCCTAACCCCAAAAACCCCTAAACTCTCAAGCCTCAAACCTAACCTGCACGTAAACCCTACATCCTCCTCCCCAAGCCCTAAACCCAAACCCCTAAACCCTAAACCCCCTAGACCCTCAACCCTAAAACCTAAACTGGACCTACACCCTAATTGACTCCTCTTCCCTAAGCCCTAAACCCTAAACTAGACCCTAAACCCCCTAAACCCCTAAACCCCCCCCAAACCCCAAACCCCAAACCCTAAACCCTAAACCCTAACCCCCCCCCAACAAAAAAAAATGATTCAAGATGGGACTCCCGACAGCATCCTCCGGGTCGCTGTTTTGGGACCCCTGCGACCGGGTCTCCTGCCGCTTGGAGACAGAACGCTTTGAGACAGAACGGCTTAGGGTTCCTTAAAAGGGCTCCCTTAAAGGGGATCTATAGGGTTCTGCTGGGTTTAGGGGTTAGGGGTTTGGGGTTTAGGGCTTATTTAGGGTTTAGGGTTCCTTAAAGGGCTCCCTTAAAGGGATCTATAGGGTTCTTTTGGGTTT